AACAGACTTTACAGCGAGGAAGAAGACATCTTTATACAGCTCACTTGCAACAGTCAACATATTTGAGTGTAGCTGTTATAAAATGTTATATTAGCCCTCACGATGACTATAATTAGTGGTGATTTAAACAGATTATCAATTTTGCTATTTAATAGAATAGTAAAATCAACTACTTGTAGATAATTAAATGTATGATTTTAAATAATGCGGGCACAAACAATACATTGCACAATTTATTGCCAGGCATATTTCACTTTATCTCGTCAGGTTCGTTACTACAGAGTTAAATCAACATAAAATGGACAAAAAAACTGAATAAATCCAACTAAAATCCGAATGGTTTCTTTGGATACATTGTGTTTGTCTAGTCGTCGGAAGTTCACTGTAGTCACTTTACTTACCAGGGATTTCAGCTGGATTTATTTGTTATAATGTGTGATTCATTTTATGATGATGTAACTCTTTAGTAACGCACCTGAAGAGATACAGCGAAATATGCCTGGCGGTAAATTGTGCAATGTTTTGTTTGTGTCAGCATTATTTGAATTCATTATGGGAAAACATTGTTTTAAATGTGTGATAATTTTCTTCCATAATTGACCTCAGCAAATGGAGCTGTGTCAGCGGCTGTACAAACTCATCTTCCAGCTGGTCCTGTTGTTTGAGTCCTACCTGAAGCTTCTGGATGTCTTCCAGATGGTCACTGCCCTACCCCAGGTAACAGCTGAGACATTTGTTTTCTTCTTTTTCTTTTGTTCGCTTGAAATAGATTATCTATATCTGCAATGTTGTCTCTAGTATAAACTTCACTGTCTTTTGTAATTCACTCAGGGACCCGTAAAGTTTGGCTTGCATGGGTGTTTCTCTTGGCCAAAAGTTTTGCCTTGAAATGTTGTATTTGGGACAGTCTTGGAGGATGTGAACTGTTGTCTTAGGTGCCAGTCCACATGTGCACATGGCTGATTTACCATGAAGCATGTTTTACAAGCGCGAAGTTATTTTTAGAAGGGATGATATTTGCTGAGGTATTTAGAATATAAATTCCCATTTTCCTGGTAAATAGTTTGATTTTATTTGATTTGATTCAAGAACCGACATCATAGCACTCGGGGCATTCCCATAAGCCCTCCATCCCCATCTTCAGCAGCCAGCGAAGAGTTCCGATACTAATAGTGCCAGTAGCATTCTGATTAAACGCCCGTCTTGCCTTTCCTCTGAGCCTCAAGCCTCGGCCAGAACCTCTCGTCACTCCCCCCTACATCAATCTCACCAGACTGTGGTGATCCATCTGCTCCTCCGAACTGTACACACTCTCCCACAAGGCACTAACCACGTCTGCCTTATCATTTATCAGTATTCTACTAAGTTGTGCAGAGCCATCCAGTCTGTCCGCCTGTTCATTTCCCAACACACACTGGTAAATGGTATAAATGCTCAACTCCCATTTTCCGAACGATTGGTGTTTCTGGTAAATAATAACTCTTCTTCCTCTTAAAGTTCATGCTGTGTGGCATTGCTAGTTATGTCTACTTCTGACACAGATGGTTTTCCATGCCATAATATGCAGCTGTCCAGCATCTTCTCTCTGGTAAAAACATTTACCTCAATATTCCATTTTCCCAGGAAAATGGTATGATGACTCAGGGCTATTCAGCTGACGGCCTGCAGGCCAAATCCGGCCCATGGAGACCTAACAAGTGGCCCACAGATCATTGCCTGTTGTATTATATTATTGGTCTTTTCTGTTCTTGGGCCCGGGTCTCTGGCCCCTGACGACCCCCAGTTTCAAAATTGTGAGTAAACTTAGTTGAATAACTCTGGTATAACTGCTCAAGACATTCGCCTAAACATTCCCACTCTTTTAGTGAATATGTCTGCTCAAGACATTTGCCTAAACATTCCCATTCTTATAGTGAATGTGTCTTGCTCAAGACATTTGCCTAAACATTCCCATTCTCCTAATGAATGTGTCCTGCTGAAGACATTTGCCTAAACATTCCCATTCTCCTAGTGAATGTGTCTGCTGAAGACATTTGCCTAAACATTCCCATTCTCCTAGTGAATGTGTCCTGCTGAAGACATTTGCCTAAACATTCCCATTCTCCTAGTGAATGTGTCCTGCTGAAGACATTTGCCTAAACATTCCCATTCTCCTAGTGAATGTGTCTGCTGAAGACATTTGCCTAAACATTCCCATTCTCCTAGTGAATATGTCTGCTGAAGACATTTGCCTAAACATTCCTGAAGACATTCCTAAACATCTCCTAGTGAATGTGTCTGCTGAAGACATTTGCCTAAACATTCCCATTCTCCTAGTGAATGTGTCTGCTGAAGACATTTGCCTAAACATTCCCATTCCCCTAGTGAATGTGTCTGCTGAAGACATTTGCCTAAACATTCCCATTCTCCTAGTGAATGTGTCTGCTGAAGACATTTGCCTAAACATTCCCATTCTCCTAGTGAATGTGTCTGCTGAAGACATTTGCCTAAACATTTCCATTCCCCTAGTGAATGTGTCCTGCTGAAGACATTTGCCTAAACATTCCCCTTCTCCTAGTGAATGTGTCCTGCTGAAGACATTCGTCTAAACATTCCCATTCTCCTAGTGAATGTGTCCTGCTGAAGACATTTGCCTAAACATTCCCATTCTCCTAGTGAATGTGTCTGCTGAAGACATTTGCCTAAACATTCTCATTCTCCTAGGGAATGTGTCTGCTGAAGACATTTGCCTGAACATTCCCATTCTCCTAGTGAATGTGTCTGCTGAAGACATTTGCCTGAACATTCCCATTCTCCTGGTGAATGTGTCTGCTTAAGACATTTGCCTGAACATTCCCATTCTCCTGGTGAATGTGTCCTGCTGAAGACATTTGCCTAAACATTCCCATTCTTCTAGTGAATGTGTCCTGCTGAAGACATTTGCCTAAACATTCCCATTCTCCTGGTGAATGTGTCTGCTGAAGACATTTGCCTAAACATTCCCATTCTTCTAGTGAATGTGTCCTGCTGAAGACATTTGCCTAAACATTCCTATTCTCTTAGTGAATGTGTCTGCTAAAGACATTTGCCTAAACATTTCCATTCTCCTAGTGAATGTGTCTGCTGAAGACATTTGCCTAAACATTCCCATTCTTCTAGTGAATGTGTCCTGCTGAAGACATTTGCCTAAACATTCCTATTCTCTTAGTAAATGTGTCTGCTGAAGACATTAGCCTAAACATTCCCATTCTCCTAGTGAATGTGTCTGCTGAAGACATTTGCCTAAACATTTCCATTCTCCTAGTGAATGTGTCTGCTGAAGACATTTGCCTAAACATTCCCATTCTCCTGGTGAATGTGTCTGCTGAAGGCATTTGCCTAAACATTCCCATTCTTCTAGTGAATGTGTCCTGCTGAAGACATTTGCCTAAACATTCCTATTCTCTTAGTGAATGTGTCTGCTCAAGACATTTGCCTAAACATTCCCATTCTCCTAGTGAATGTGTCTGCTGAAGACATTTGCCTAAAGACATTTGCCTAAAGATTCCTATTCTTCTAGTGAATGTGTCCTGCTGAAGACATTTGCCTAAACATTCCCATTCTCCTAGTGAATGTGTCCTGCTGAAGACATTTGCCTAAACATTCCTATTCTCTTAGTGAATGTGTCTGCTCAAGACATTTGCCTAAACATTCCCATTCTCCTAGTGAATGTGTCCTGCTGAAGACATTTGCCTAAAGATTCCCATTCTTCTAGTGAATGTGTCCTGCTGAAGACATTTGCCTAAACATTCCCATTCTCCTAATGAATGTGTCCTGCTGAAGACATTTGCCTAAACATTCCCATTCTCCTAGTGAATGTGTCCTGCTGAAGACATTTGCCTAAACATTCCTATTCTCCTAATGAATGTGTCCTGCTGAAGACATTTGCCTAAACATTCCTATTCTCCTAGTGAATGTGTCCTGCTGAAGACATTTGCCTAAACATTCATATTCTCCTAGTGAATGTGTCTGCTGAAGACATTTGCCTAAACATTCCCATTCTCCTAGTGAATGTGTCCTGCTGAAGACATTTGCCTAAACATTCACATTCCCCTAGTGAATGTGTCTGCTGAAGACATTTGTCTAAACATTCCCATTCTCCTAGTGAATGTGTCCTGCTGAAGACATTTGCCTAAAGATTCCCATTCTCCTAATGAATGTGTCTGCTGAAGATGTTTGCCTAAACATTCCCATTCTTGTAGTGAATGTGTCCTGCTGAAGACATTTGCCTAAAGATTCCCATTCTCCTAGTGAATGTCCTGCTGAAGACATTTGCCTAAAGATTCCCATTCTCCTAGTGAATGTGTCCTGCTGAAGACATTTGCCTAAACATTCCCATTCTCCTAGTGAATGTGTCCTGCTGAAGACATTTGCCTAAACATTCCCATTCTCCTAGTGAATGTGTCCTGCTGAAGACATTTGCCTAATGATCCCCATTCTCCTAGTGAATGTGTCCTGCTGAAGACATTTGCCTAAACATTCCTATTCTCCTAATGAATATGTCTGCTGAAGACATTTGCCTAATTATTCCCATTCTCCTAGTGAATGTGTCTGCTAAAGATATTTGCCTAAACATTCCCATTCTTCTAGTGAATGTGTCTGCTCAAGACATTTGCCTAAACATTCCCAATCTCCTAGTGAATGTGTCTGGTCAAGACATTTGCCTAAACATTCCCATTCTCCTAGTGAATATGTCTGCTGAAGACATTTGCCTAAACATTCCCATTCTCCTAGTGCAGGGCCATTCAACTAAGTTTAAACAGGGGCCAAACTTAGGGAAATGGAGATCGTCGCGGTCCAGAGGACCAAGCTCCAGCATAGAAAGAACATTAATACACTACAGTTGGCAGGTGACTCTCGTGGGCCATTTGCTAGACCTCTGCTGGCCACATTTGGCCTGCGGCCCGCCAGTTGAATAGCCCTCTCCTAGTGAATGTGTCCTGCTGAAGACATTTGCTGGTATTCAGTCCTCCACTTTCCAGGTGAATGATATGTCTGCCCAAGTCATCTCGGTGAGAAATGAGCTGCTGTTGAGTCTTGATGAGCTGGAGAACGGCCAGGCCTCACCTTTGAATGTGGACTCCCACGACGACAAACAGGAAGCAGTAGCAGCACTTGCCGAGTACCTCCATGGGGCCCAGTATCTGAAGGCCATACAGATCTTGAGGAAATTTAGGTAATTACCAGACATGTTGTTATTTCTAATTTATCTCTGTGGTTTGGCACTGGAGAGTGACACAAGCATGGGAGTAAACTCTGGCTAATTGTTCGGGTTATTGTTTTTTACATTTTAATGTGGCTTAAAATCAGGCAAAATTACAAAAATGGAATACATTTTCTGAAGAAATAAAAAGGAATTTGAGTAAAGTTTTTTTTTTTTTTTTGGCTGAGCCATTATAGGGCGACTCCCTATGTTGGTCTCGGGCTCTGTTTTGGAGACAATAAAAGATTAGTTCCACTGCCGCCCTCTCCCCCAATAAGTATGTCGTAGGAGGCAATTACTTCAGGGGTGTTTCCTTCAAAGTTGGAGTGCATCTGCCTGAGTGGCAAGGAACCAACAGTCTGCATACAAATAAGTCAGATCTGTAAAAATAGGTACGCACACAAAACTCAGATTTTGGATGAAAACCACAATCCAGGAGTTTATGCCAGAGTTTATGCCAGAGTTTATGCCAGAGTTTACAGCCGGTGAAAGCTAAGGTGATGCCCAAGAATTTAGGAGATATGAGTGTGTGCAGACTAAGCTCAACAAATAAGATCAGTATAGAGTAGGAATGTTAAATTTATGTGGCTGGCGCAACAAAGCAGAGGAGATAATGTACACAAAGCAAGGGGAAGACCACACAAGAGATGGAGCGACATTATTAGGAGTAACCCAACAGAAATGAAGGCCAACTTGTACAATGCATTAGAAAAAGTGCACAAAATGATCCTTGCATCTTCCCTCAACACCTCACTGAGGTAAATGATGGAAGAGAGAGGAAGAAAGCTGAGAAAAGGTGTGAGAGTACCTGAAAGTGACACAAACAGGGGAATTAACTCTGGTTAGTTGTTTGACTTATGTATTACTTTCTGTGGCTTAAAATCTGACACAGTTACAAATGTGGAGTGAATTTCTCCAGAACAAAAAATTTGAGAAAAAGTTCTGTTTGAAGCCATGAACAATTATAGGGTGACTGTCGAGGGATGCAGGTTGAACGAACGAATTAACTTTATTTTCAAAGCGTCACAAATTGGGCACGCAAGCCAGTCTTACATTTGGCCCTTCCAAACAACTCTCTTTCACACTGCAGTTGTATTTTATCAATAAGCATGTTGTATTCATTTGATAATATGCATATTATAAATATCAAGGAAAAAACACCTGCGACTACATACAGTAAAAATTTGGAACACAGCAGTTCCTGTACATTGAAAACTGGATAGTGTAAGATAAAGTCCATAACCGTTCATTTGTAACTTAATACCAGCTTGGATTATGCTTTGAAAAAAGACAAAAATTTGCATTTAACAATGTTTTAAATATTTATGTCTGAACAGATCCCAGTGGCCCAATGATATTTTTGGCATGACTTTTGAAGATGATACATTGACACTGCTCAACATTTACTGCAGTAACCTGGCAGAAAAAAATCAAGGTAGATTCTTCTTCTTCTTCTCCTCCTCCTCTTCCTTCTTCTTGTTCTTCTTTGTTCAATACTTTGCCATTGCTCACTTAACAGTTGATGCTTCATAATAGTATTGGAAGCAACACAAAGCAATCTGCTGCCAAATTGCCTGCAGCTGGAATTTAATTGGGAATTCTAAAGCGTCGTCTGTTTAAGTATATTTAAAATACATATAAGTCAACTTACGCCTCCTTACTTAACTCAGGACTGCAGGTTACAGACTTGTGCATTGGCAGCATTGACTTCAAGCCTTTAGAAAAATTATGCCTATCACCAACTCTACAAGTCAGCATAAACTCATTTTTAGCCTCTGCAAATGACATCCTAATAGTCCTATAACAGCTCATATCGTTGGGTCACCAGTTGCTGTTGACTCTCTGATTGGTTCCCTCCACCTCTGTCAGTCCTTTTGCAGTGGGGTCTGTCCTTTTGCCATGGGTCTGTCCTTTTGCCGTGGGTCTGTCCTTTTGACGTGGGTCTATCCGTTTGCAGTAGCTCTATCCGTTTGCAGTGGCTATCCATTTGCAGTGGCTCTATCCTTTTGCTGTTGCTCTATCCATTTGCAGTGGCTATCCATTTGCAGTGGCTCTATCCTTTTGCTGTTGCTCTATCCATTTGCAGTGGCTATCCATTTGCAGTTGCTCTATCCTTTTGCTATGGCTCTATCCTTTTGCAGTAGGACCCCCGACCCATTAAGGGGAAAAAAGTGTTCAATACATGGATAATCACCAAAGCTCTACAGTCCTACATTGGCTAAAATACCTAACATAGTCTTAGTCTTGGTGTCTTAGTCCTAATGTCTTGGTCTTTGTGTCTTGGTCTTAGTCAAGGTCTTGGTGACTTGGTCTTGGTGACTTGGTCTTGGTCTTAGTCAAGGTCTTGGTGTCTTGGTCTTGGTCTTGGTGTCTTGGTCTTAGTCATGGTCTTAATGTCTTGGTCTTGGTGTCTTGGTCTTGGTGTCTTGGTCTTGGTCTTGGTCTTGGTGTCTTGGTCTTAGTAAAGGTCTTAATGTCTTGGTCTTGGTGTCTTGGTCTTAGTCAAGGTCTTAATGTCTTGGTGTCTTGGTCTTAGTCAAGGTCTTAATGTCTTGGTCTTGGTGTCTTGGTCTTGGTGACTTGGTCTTGGTGTCTTGGTCTTGGTGACTTGGTCTTGGTGTCTTGGTCTTAGTGTCTTGGTCTTGGTCTTGGTCTTGGTGTCTTGGTCTTGGTGACTTGGTCTTGGTGTCTTGGTCTTGGTGTCTTGGTCTTGGTGTCTTGGTCTTGGTGACTTGGTCTTGGTGTCTTGGTCTTGGTCTTGGTGTCTTGGTCTTGGTGACTTGGTCTTGGTGTCTTGGTCTTGGTGACTTGGTCTTGGTGTCTTGGTCTTGGTGACTTGGTCTTGGTGTCTTGGTCTTAGTGTCTTGGTCTTGGTCTTGGTCTTGGTGTCTTGGTCTTGGTGTCTTGGTCTTGGTGTCTTGGTCTTGGTGTCTTGGTCTTGGTCTTGGTGTCTTGGTCTTGGTGTCTTGGTCTTGGTCTTGGTCTTGGTCTTGGTGTCTTGGTCTTGGTGTCTTGGTGTCTTGGTCTTGGTGACTTGGTCTTGGTGTCTTGGTCTTGGTCTTGGTGTCTTGGTCTTGGTGACTTGGTCTTGGTGACTTGGTCTTGGTGTCTTGGTCTTGGTGTCTTGGTCTTGGTGTCTTGGTCTTGGTGTCTTGGTCTTAGTCAAGGTCTTGGTGTCTTGGTCTTGGTCTTGGTCTTGGTCTTGGTGTCTTGGTCTTAGTCAAGGTCTTGGTGTCTTGGTCTTGGTGTCTTGGTCTTGGTGTCTTGGTCTTGGTGTCTTGGTCTTGGTGTCTTGGTCTTAATGCCTTGGTCTTAATGTCTTGGTCTTGGTGTCTTGGTCTTGGTCTTGGTGTCTTGGTCTTGGTGTCTTGGTCTTGGTGTCTTGGTCTTGGTGTCTTGGTCTTGGTGTCTTGGTCTTAGTCATGGTCTTAGTGACTTGGTCTTGGTCTTAGTCTTGGTCTTGGTGTTGGTCTTGGTGTCTTGGTCTTGGTGACTTAGTCTTGGTGTCTTGGTGTCTTGGTCTTAATCTTGTCTTGGTCTTGGTGTCAAGGTCTTGGTGTCTTGGTCTTGGTGTCTTGGTCTTAGTCAAGGTCTTGGTAACTTGGTCTTGGTGTCTTGGTCTTGGTGTCTTGGTCTTGGTGTCTTGGTCTTGGTGTCTTGGTCTTGGTGTCTTGGTCTTGGTGTCTTGGTCTTGGTGACTTGGTCTTGGTGTCTTGGTAGTCTTGGTGTCTTGGTCTTGGTGTCTTGGTCTTAGTCAAGGTCTTGGTGTCTTGGTCTTAGTCAAGGTCTTGGTGTCTTGGTCTTAGTCAAGGTCTTGGTGACTTGGTCTTGGTGACTTGGTCTTGGTGTCTTGGTCTTAGTCAAGGTCTTGGTGACTTGGTCTTGGTGTCTTGGTCTTGGTGTCTTGGTCTTAGTCAAGGTCTTGGTGTCTTGGTCTTAGTCAAGGTCTTGGTGTCTTGGTCTTGGTGTCTTGGTCTTGGTCTGGTGACTTGGTCTTGGTGTCTTGGTCTTGGTGTCTTGGTCTTGGTGTCTTGGTCTCTTGGTGTCTTGGTCTTGGTGACTTGGTCTTAGTGTCTTAGTCTTGGTGTCTTGGTCTTAATGTCTTGGTCTTGGTCTTGGTGACTTGGTCTTAGTGTCTTAGTCTTGGTGTCTTGGTCTTGGTGTCTTGGTCTTAGTGTCTTGGTCTTGGTGTCTTGGTCTTAGTGTCTTGGTCTTGGTGTCTTGGTCTTGGTGTCTTGGTCTTGGTGTCTTAGTCTTGGTGTCTTGGTCTTGGTGACTTGGTCTTGGTGTCTTGGTGTCTTGGTCTGACTCTGGTCTTAGTGTCTTGGTGTCTTGGTCTTAGTCTTGGTCTTGGTGTCTTGGTCTTAGTCAAGGTCTTGGTGTCTTGGTCTTAGTCAAGGTCTTGGTGTCTTGGTCTTAGTCAAGGTCTTGGTGTCTTGGTCTTGGTGTCTTGGTCTTGGTGTCTTGGTCTTGGTGTCTTGGTCTTAGTGTCTTGGTCTTGGTGTCTTGGTCTTGGTCTTGGTGACTTGGTCTTAGTGTCTTAGTCTTGGTGTCTTGGTCTTGGTGACTTGGTCTTAGTGTCTTAGTCTTGGTGTCTTGGTCTTGGTGTCTTGGTCTTGGTGACTTGGTCTTAGTGTCTTAGTCTTGGTGTCTTGGTCTTGGTGACTTGGTCTTAGTGTCTTAGTCTTGGTGTCTTGGTCTTGGTGACTTGGTCTTAGTGTCTTAGTCTTGGTGTCTTGGTCTTGGTGACTTGGTCTTAGTGTCTTAGTCTTGGTGTCTTGGTCTTGGTGACTTGGTCTTAGTGTCTTAGTCTTGGTGTCTTGGTCTTAGTGTCTTAGTCTTGGTGTCTTGGTCTTGGTGACTTGGTCTTAGTGTTTTAGTCTTGGTGTCTTGGTCTTGGTGACTTGGTCTTAGTGTCTTAGTCTTGGTGTCTTGGTCTTAGTGTCTTAGTCTTGGTGTCTTGGTCTTAGTCAAGGTCTAGGTGACTTGGTCTTGGTGACTTGGTCTTAGTTGAAGTTTCAACTTCACTGTAGTCAGGTCCCACCCCCATATCTATTATACTGGATGGCAGTGGTCCTTAACCTTCATAAAGCTGTGACCCTCTAATACAGTTGCCCCATGTTGTGGTGACCTCCAATCAGAATACTATTTTTGTTGCTATTTCATAACTTCAGTGAATATGTGTTTTTTGATGGTCTTAAGGCGACCCCTGTGAAAGGGTTGTTTGACCCACTAAATGGGTTGTTTGACCCACTAAATGGGTTATTTGACCCACTAAATGGGTTGTTTGACCCACTAAATGGGTTGTTTGACCCACTAAATGGGTTGCCACCCTCATGTTGAGAACCACTGCTCTGTGGAGATATCCATGACCTCAAGTTGATTGATCAATCATCAGTTTGTCGACGGCAGACCAGCAGGGCAGATCCCAGATACCCCATTCAACCTCCAAAGATGTTATTATTATGGCACCTGGGAAATGAGCAGCACCTATATCTTATGAGGTTTGCTATGGGAGATTTAGCATCTATGGGTATGCGACCATATGTTATGAAAGTTAAAGTGAGTCATCTTATCACAGACGATGCCATTGCACATTGCACATTTGTGCTCAGTCCTCCAATGCAGCAGCCATTTCAAGGTAGCACTGCTGATTGTTCTCATGAGGAGCTGGTTATAATGTCTCCTATCTTGGCTTCAAGGACAGCATAGAAGGGCTTCGTCATGCTTTACTTCCATGTTATGTAACCATGTTAGTGTGGTAAAGTAAGTAAAAGACTTGCTTGGCACTTTTGCTTAAGTAGAAAGTCAGGAGATGTGAACCAGCGTCATTGCACACGGTTATAAACCATAAGTGCTCTGCCACCAGTACGGACAGCTGATAAGAAACTGTCCGCCTGTGTGGCCTTCCGCACAAAACTGTGTGGCCTTCCGCGACGTTCCTCCATTTACCCCAGAGTGTTGACTCTGGAATCCATTTCTTAGAGGCTGGGTGAACCCTGGGACTGCCCATTTTCGAACACCTGCCGTGGGCTGCAGCGAGTCACTGCTGGATTTAAAAGTGAATCTCCTATCGACTGCGCTAATGCGGCCCCCTTTTGCGTAAGTAGAGGTTCTGGAAGATATTCATCAGTGAAGGGGGAAACAGAGGCGGACTTCGAGTCCGGTTGCAACTGGTACTGTTAGCATGTTGACTCTTCATTTTCTGCTGAGGAGAGAGATGGAGCACCTGTGGGAATGTCCTGAGTGCATTGATGTCAGTTATCAATTAATTAGTTATGTAAGTAATTCATTTTTCTTCTTCTTCTTCTTCACTTCCTCTTTTACCGCTGTGGGTGTCAAGGGAGATATAAGGTTCTGTTTCTAGCTCTTCTGGCTGCCTCGATCATAGGCACATCGTGCTGTTGTAGAGTTTCTCTGATGTTATCCTTCCAT